CCTTCCGGCCCTGCAGCTATGCGTCTGCTACGCGCCCACACAAGACAGGCGAGTAGCAGGCGCTTAGCTTCCTCCCTAATAGAGAGTACTAGACTCTGGCACCACGTTGAGGTGGCCGGCTGCGCCAGAGTTTACCGAATTTCCTATATTATTTCATTGTTTTTCTTTTTCTTTTTTCTTACGGAATAATGTAAAAAAAAAAAGGAAACAACGAAAGAAAAAGTGTGGCTAGATAAGTTGAGCTGTAGAAGTATAGGTCTATGGCTGTCCCACCAACGCCAGCAAACGGAGGTGCTGAGCATCCTCCCCAGAATTCGATGTGGCGGACAGGTCTTCTTTATGGAATAGTGGCTCTCCTCATGTTCTCTTCTCTCGGCACTAAAGACACCGGTCGCGCCAAGAGTAGTGGCGAAGCACGGTTGAGCGGAGGAGATCATGATGGAGCAAAGCAAATGAGCTTACAATACACTCCCTTTGCCAAAAGAGGCGACTCGTACTCCATTATTATTACATCTGGCAATGATGGTGTATTTGCGGAGGACATATTTCAAGATCTTATTCTGGATGATAACACTCGCGACGTGTCACGACAATACACCGTTGATTTGCGCCGCTGCCATGCTGAAAACCGCAGCGTCAGCCTCACCATTAAAACAAGCATCCGTGGAAGGGAATACGTTCAGGAGTTTCCCTTAGTGCGCCACTTGCCGTTTCGACGCAAAAGAGAAGAGCAGCACTTGTTTGCCAAAAAGGCAAACCCGGAGGAGGACGCAAGTAACACCACCGATGAGGAACCAATGACCGTGTGGAAAGCCTACTTTCAGCCATCATTGACCCTAAGTCCTATTGTTGACTTTTCCAGTCCACTTCCCTCAGCAATGAGGCCTTACTATTTCATGGACGACGCAACGCAGCAATACCTGCCTTTAGTTTACATTAACAACTTTTGGGTGCTGCGAGACCACTTGATGGAAGTCAACGCCACAACAGCGGCTTCCGCGTTAAATTTTACCATCACGATATCTCCACGCCCTCTGTGGAAGTTTGCGCTCTATGTTAACTTTGAAGAATCTATGAAACAGCAACAGGAGTTGGGCTTGGCAAAGTCTGGGGATTCAGATGAGACCAAGCGGATATTTCTGGAAACAAATCCCTATTTTTTAGCCCTGACTGGTCTTGTGAGCATGCTGCATATGTTGTTTGAATATTTGGCGTTTTCGAACGATGTAAAGTTCTGGCGACATCGAAGCAATTTTAAAGGTTTATCGCTTCGTACGATTGTGCTGAATTGCTACTTTCAAACCATTGTATTTCTTTACCTTTTAGACGGTGACGAGACGTCGTGGGCTATTCTACTCCCTAGCGGCTTTGGTGTTCTCATCGAGTTCTGGAAGCTCACGCAAACTGTGCGCTTTGTGCGTCAGGACAATGGGCGCTGGCGGCTGGCGTTCAACGACGGCTACGACAGGCGTACGCGCAAACATGATGATCTCGCCGTGCGTTATCTGATGTACGCCATGACGCCTGTTCTGCTCGCATACACCGTCTATTCGGCGCTCTATAACACCCACAGAGGTTGGTATTCGTTTATTATAAATACACAGGTGCGCTTTATTTACTTTTTTGGATTTGCCATGCTAACGCCGCAAATTTTTATTAACTACAAGATGAAAAGTGTCGCACAGCTCCCGTGGCGGACGTTTGTGTATCGCGCCCTCAATACAGTTATCGATGATCTTTTCGCATTTATAGTGAAGATGCCATGGCTGCATCGCCTTGCGTGCTTTCGCGACGATGTCGTCTTTGTCATATTGTTGTATCAACGGTGGATTTACCCGGTTGACGTCGGACGCAGTGAGGAGCCTGACAGCGACGGAGAGGAGAAGGCGACAGAGAACGCGACAGAGGCGGGGGTCAATGGGAGTGAGGTGGCGGAGCCTGCAAAAGACGGTGAAAGGCAGACACCGGCGCTGAGGGACGCCGAGGAGCCACATCCACTCTCTCAGGAGGCAAAAAAAGCGCAATAGCAAGCCACAGGACTACGGTCGCGTCAAATTAATTTGAACACGGCGGTTTCAAGGGCGACGAAGTGCGTTAAAACGATTGTTTTTGCCGCCCACACTGCTTAGTACGACTTAAATAACGAGCTAATACAGGGCCACGACGATGGTGCCTTTTCTTCACCAGCCGGTGTGAAAACAAAGGAAAGGAAAGGAATGTAGGGGGATGCCGTTAATCTATCTCTCCTTTTTTTTTTTTTTCTAGTTGTTGTTGCTGTTGCTGTTGTTATTGTTGGTCTCTGCATGTGTTTCTTTTTCCTTTCTGTGTTGTAGGGGTGGATGGGGAATACAGACAATGCTGGGGCTCCGAGTTCGTGTTGGCTGGCGTCCACGCGATTGTGCGTCAGAACAGTGCAGCACGGGGGCGAAGAGAAGCATTGGCCGCAGCAGTATCACCACCCCTACCAGGTGATGGAAGGTGATTGGCTCGTCACTGGCAAAAGGCAACATAAATTA